TATATTGAGTATAGCAGATTTTGCAGGAGCATCCGCGCAAAAGGCTTTAAAAGTAATTTTAGATTCTGAGTGGAGTGAAGGAGCTTATGGTTTTAAAAGGTGTTTATTTATTTATTTTTTTTTTAATCTGTACTCTAATTTTCTACCAGAAAACTCGCTCACATTTTTAAGTGTAGCATCTATTCTAAAAGAAAATCGGCATGGGGTGGTACTTTAAAGAAGTCATTTTTTGATTTTCTCAAGATTTTTCTTATCAAATTTGAAAAAAAAAAACTGTGGAAAAATGGGAAAATATAAGAAATACATAATATATGTATTAGTTAAAATCTATTACGGCCTTCTTTTTTTTTCTGTGAATTACTTTTCTACCAGCAATTTTGCACCAATTTATAATAAAGGCAATGTTTCTGAAAGAAAATCCGACTGGGGAGGCACTTTAGAATGGTCATTTTTCAATTTTCCAAAGAGTTTTGCAGGTAAATATGAAATAATATCATATTATGGTAAAAAAAATTAAATATGCATTCAATTCCGGTTTTTCTCATTTATTGGAAAAACTCCTGGGAAAATCAAAAATGACCTCGTTAAAAATGACTCCGCAGTCCAATTTTCTTTTAGTAAAAGTACTATCATTGTACATTGGAGCAAAATTTCTGGTAGAAAAATTATTCACAGGATTAAAAAGGCCGTGGTATATTTTTACTTATACCTATTTCGTACTTTTTCCCGATTTTCCTGGTTTTCCCATTTGTTGAGAAAACTCCTTAGAAAATCAAAAAATTACCTCCCTAAATTAACTTCTCAGTCAGATTTACTTTCAGAAAAAGTGCTATCATTCAATCATTGTAAATCAAAGCAAAGTTGCTAGTGGAAAAGTTGTAACCAGAAAAAGAAAACCATAAAAATGTTACCAATATATTACTTACATTTTCTCATTTTTTTCCAGTTTTCTCCACTTGATAAATATATAATATTATATGCCATGTATAATATAATATTTTCCATGTAATGTATATAATATAAATTTAAAATATAAAAAAAAAATTATAATTTGTATTAGTTTTCCAATTATTATCAACCAAGTTATCTAAGGTAAGTTGACCTGTTTATAGTTTTATCAGAAATAAATTAGGTTTTGGCGGCCTAATGGTAATAGATAAGGATACTTCTCAGTTAATATAAATTAATATTATAACTATACGAGTATGCCATGTTATGGTAAACTAATTAAATATACATCATATATTTTCTTTAATAATATTTGTTTAATATTGTAACTATCCTGTTTTCCTACGTTTTTCCCAGTTTTTCATATTTATTAGTAAAACTCCGGGAAAAATCAAAAAATGGCATCTTGAAAGTACCTCCCCAGTCATATTTTGTTTTAGAAAAATTGCTTTCATTGAAAGCAGCAAAATTGCAGAAAAGTTGTTCTCAGGACGAAAAGAAAGCCGAACTATTTTTTAAGTATTCCCTACCATAGGACCATGACCGAGGTGTGCTTTGAATCGCTTTTCGTAAGCAATCATTAATCTTTGATCTCAGATATACATTAAATTCCCCTCTAATTCTTACGTCTACAATCTTCTCGTCTACAACAATAGCCCACCCACGTGCGAAGTATATTTGTCTCTTCTTTTTTCTTTCTTGTGATATAACAAAATCTCTTCTGATTTTCGAGTCGTTTCCCGGTTCCTGAGTCATATCGGGTGATTGATGTTCACGCTATAACATTATGCAATATTATAATGATACATTGTAATCATGGTCAAGCATATAATATAATATAAACAATTTGTATTTTGTTGTCCAACGAAATCATTTATTTTCTTATTGGACACCCGTTCAACACCTTTTGACAAATCCTGGTTGCTTCACTGCAGAGATGGGTGAAACATGAAATCGATAATATGAGGTAAAAATACTTCGTGCTGCATTTGCAGTGGTCATATACTACCGCGACTCGTCTTTTAACGCACGAGTTTGAATTTAAAATTTCCGTACCGCACGTATAACATACACCTTCGACGGGCCCCACGCGCACTCAGAGACCGCTATAACTATAATAACGATATTATTTTATTGTTTAAATGATAACCGTAGATCCCTGATTATTTAACCAGACCTTCGACTGTGGCGGTGTGTAGGAAGAAGTGAGTGGGTGTAGCCGTGTGGGTACTCGTCGATGATAATAATATTAATAAAACAACAAGTTTTAGCGACGCTATTGTATGGATAGATACGTGCAATTCCTCTCCTTTTCCACACTCCTGTCTCTCTCTTTGTCGGCCGCATCACCGAGCCCGGACATGCCCGCGACGAGTGATCGTTAACATAATATTATCCGACGCGAAACGCGCAAATATAACGGTAAATACCGTTCGGTTATAATAATAGCAACATCGTAAAGATTTCGGACCTACCTTCTTTCTTTTTTTCTTCTCTTCTTTTCGTTTCGGCCCTCGTTCAGCGCGCGTGTCTGCGGAAAAAAAAAATAAATCGCGGTCACGAGCGAGGCATAACGTGCCGCCCGCCCGCCCGTATACCTATATGCCTGCATAACATTATAGTATATTGTACTTACATTATAATAATAAATAATAGCATTGGTTATTATGCAGGTATTACACTGCATAATAATATACGCTTACCGTATCTGTACGCGTACAAAGTAACGAAAGAAAATGTAGGTATATACATTTTTAATTCCCGTCAACAGCGGTGACATTTCCCCCACCATGGCCAAAGCGTTTCAGAAAAATTATAAATTAAGTACAGCCTACGAATTGTAAATAAATATAAATCAATTTCCAATGCTTTTGCAAATGAACCATAGCCTCGTGGAGAGCTTTTGAAGTGCTGTATAAATTAGATTTATACGTTTTTAATAATTAAACATAAAAAGATAATGGGATACACTGCACCAGTTCGCGGGGCCCGTGATTTCGCAACTTATACCAAAATTGGACACACTGCGGATGGATCAGATAAATCACGATAGAAGTTTTAAAAAACCATTCATATAATACCTATCTAACTGCCTATATTTTGTATTATCTTTTCAACATAGGAATATCACGTGGTGTGGATATCATGTAGGTATGTTATAAAGACTCAATATAGAGATCCACAGCAAAATGTCGAAGATGTTTAATAAATAAGTTTTAAAAATTATAACACATCTCACGTATTTATTATATGCGTGTATTATTAATGTATGTAACAGTTCAAACTGTTCAGAGTCCGTTTAAACATTTTTTTTTTGGTAATTTATCACGTTAGTCAATTTTCTTCGTGAACATTTGATGATTTTCCATTTTAATTGTTCGTTAATTTTCTTATATAGAATAATAAAATATAATATGTAAGTTGTAGATGGAACAATTTTTTAAAACTTTTCTCCTATGATAATGAGGACGGGTACAGTCACTGATGTTGGTGAGAAGTTGGGAAGGCAGGATATAGAGGATAAATTAATTTGTATATGTAAGCAACGATAAACCTCTGCTTACTAAAAATGATTCTGAGCGAAGTTCAGTTGATAGTGATGCTTTGTTAACAATATTTATGTCATATTATTTTATATATTACACTTTACATATTACAATTTTATTGTTTTAAAATTGTTTAAGACCTCCGTGTTCCAATAACTCAAATTGTATAAAATTGTCGTAATATGTATGTTAATAATCAATAATATAATAATATAATATTAATAACTAACAAGGCTCGGGAATTTATGCATTTAAAATCCCCAGAAAATCGCTTAAAAACGACAAAAGAGAAATTATTTTTTTTTAAAAATCAAAAACGACAGAGGATTCAGAGAAATTCAAAATTCTCAACATCCCACGCCTTCTCATAACGACTCTAACCATTAACTGAAATTGTTTAATACTACAAAACGATTAGCTTAATTTTTTTTTTTTTATAATTATATATAAAAATTATTACTTATAGTATTTAAAATATTTAAAATTTTATTTAAAAAACGTGTGTTAATCATTTTTGTTGTTGGTATTTTATAAGCTAGAGGCATTAGAGGGCGTACTTTTAAAAACATACAACCATTTTTTTTGTTTTTTTTAAGTGCGTTTTTATGGCTTTTTTAACGTGTTTGATAGCTTTTTTGTGGATTTTAAGTGCATAAAGTACCGAGCCCTAATAGTTTATAAACATTTTGGCTCTTGAAGTATACCATTGTATTTATCCATGTGTCTGCCGAACACAATATTATTCATGTTGGCCATCCCTGATACACACACGCGTATAATAATATTCTGTGTACGCACCTTTATACCGTTGACTTTGGTATGCGTACGACGACGAGACGATACTATAATATTATTACACGCGCGTTGTATTCGCGAAATATCCGTCCGCGAAAAAAAAAACGCCGTCGCCGTGCATATATATTATGCATAAGTACCTATATACGTAAAGAAAAAAGACAAAGCCGAAAAGAAACCATCAAAAATATAACCGTTAACCGGTCGCATTGTTCTACATAATAAAAAATACGTTAATATAATAATATGTATTTATACAGCAACGTAACCGCCGCCGCATTCTATGGCTCTAATGTCATATCATATTATACTATTTAAGTTTTTATTTTGCTCTCTTCTGTTCAATTGATTGGCTGTCAACGCGCGGGCAGTTTTTTTGTACAAATTGGTATTTAAATTTGAGTTTAATTTTTCTGTGTTAACTACGTGTTTTGTCTTCCAAACATTCAGAACGTGTCCGGTAATATTCCGATTTTTAATTTTTTTTTTTTTTATTAATTATATCATCACCGTATATTGTTACCGTCCACACGAAAATATTGGTTGAACTCTGTACTCTACCTCGCAATCTACTCTGCCGTCGCCACGCAGAGTCTATGCTTTTATTGACATCCAAAGGTCTTACGGCCGCGTTTCATCGCTTATCTACTTACCACAGGCGAGACGCGTCTCGTGCTATAGTTGCTATACGCCTTTATACCCTGTCGCCATATGACAACCGAGTCATTCTTAAAGTCGTTGCCTATCGTCTCACCTACCTTCCACCATCAAGTCTGGTTGCCTTCGCTCACACTTTCCTTGGAATTAACCTATCCGATCCACTGCTTGAGTGCAAGTAGCCCGCTTATCATTCCACTTGAGGATGATTCAAAGAGGTCACTGCGTTCGGGGTCTGGCAAGAGAAGTCAAGGAGTACCGGCCAAAGGATCTCAAGAAACATCCTTAGTACCCACACCCCTCTCATTTAAATAACTTCACCTGGCTATGTTGAATATTCGTAAATCACAGGAGCGAACACTGGCTTTTTGCAAATCTATTAGTCAATTGCTTAACACCAAATTTACCAAGCCAACAGCAAAAGTGGATTAGTTTGCCTTCCAATTGGGAGACTTTAGTTCTAAAAACTACCTCTCTCCAGGCAGCTCTCGCTTCTCTTAAAAAAAAAAAAGTAGTCTCCGTACTTGAACCCACTAATAGTAATACAGTTGCTTCTCCTGCTGTCAATCAGACTTCCCAGCTACTTCTTGTACCTATCGTAGATTATGTAAAATTGTGTATTTATTGTCTCAATAAAATCATATGGGTTATCCTAGAAACATGTTTCCCCCCCCCACCAAAAAAAAAAAAATGTTTTAATGGCACGGAAGGTTTTACTCATACCATAAAGTTTTTCAATTTAATTTGCCAAACATATTTTGCTATCGCTACGGCAGCCGGTTTGTTGTATCACCTTGGTATTTGAAACACTGCTGCAATTAAACAATATCCGTTCGAGTCTTTTTTTGCGTGTATTCATAATTGGTTACTGCGCGTTCAGATCCCGGTGTGTGCACACGTCATATACTGTACATATATAACATAATCGGTTTTTACGCACACACATTTTTGCGATCTCTATACGCTATATACTACTCTGTATACTACTTTGACTGTAGTTCAAACTGTCGTTCAGGCAACGCGTCTACTATAAACACAGATTTCTATACTAACGTGGGCTAAAAATTCTGTGACTATAAATTTTAAAACTAAAAATATTGACATTATTTATGATAATAGATATGGTATGTATCGAAGATAATTATAATGGAACCAACAATTTTGCTGCAATGAGAATCTCGTATTTTTGTTTGTTTTTTTTTTTTTTTACCGAAAATGACATAAGAGTATAAATTATCAGGATATCACTATATTCTGATAAGGAATAAATAAGGTCATAAGATTGATACGGATTAAGAAGAAACTCAATTTCGTACAATTTATTAGCCGCGAAATATTTACAAAATGTTAATAAATCGTCACTTGAAATTTCCATTGACAATTTTAAATTCGGAGCGTGATGGAGAATCTATGGGTTTTACTATGTATTTTTTTTTTCTCTGTCTGTAATCACTGTTTTCGAAAAGAAATGTTGCTCCGATAGTCCGATGTATAGAGTATAGTATCTTTTCTGAAAGGAAATTTTGTCTAGTTAGTGAATTGAATATGTCATTTTTTGATTTTCCGAAATGTTTTCGAAACAGTTGTACAAAACCCCCAAAAAATTATAGGTAAAACACAGAATACATCGATATCATTGTTTTTAATAGTTTCAACTTATGTTTTCTACCAGAAATTTACCAACTACTGATCTAGAATATTGGCCTCACCCGTACCCAAGTAACAGCTCTCTTTTTTTTTTTTTTATACAATTGTTTGCGTTTCAAGGCTTATAGCTTTGTCGATATTGATTTTCTTCTTATTGATTATAAAATGGCCTTATTTGTTCCTTATTAGCTTCCGATGATTTATCTTCATGTCATTTTTTGTTTAGCCATAATTTAAACCGTTAAAAAAAAATCCGTACGAATTGTATTTTTATCTTAAATCGCTGCTCATAAACTCATCGGATACCGAGTTGTGGCTGAGTAGTAAACACCGGGCAGCGAGTATTAGTCGGATACTGAATACGGTGTCGAGTCCCTTGTTATTATTCTGGTTGCCGGGTGCTTGGTACATCTCTAATAATAATGTAACTTTTACTATTGGTAATACATAATATATGTTTACGTAATAAAGTGGCGCACTAGGTATTTTAATATGAGAGGTGATACGAAGTGGGGAGATCTGATTTAAACTATTTGTATACTTAGATACAAAATCATTAAACATATTTTCAGGTAAAATCGGTACAATACTTGGTAGGTACCAGTGTACCACAGCTATTGATTGGACGGTTGCGCGTCACGTCGTTCAAACGCGAACACAAATGTTTTTATCTACAGCAGTGTTAAAATATGAATATATGAACACCTACCGCTATCTAGTGGACATTAAATGTTCACTACACTATACGGCTATAGCGAGAAAAACCTAGACGATTTAAGCGAAGTATCTATAGTCAGTAATATAACGTGGTGAGTACTGAATTGTACTAATGCGTATTTACTTTTTAATATTTTTAAGTTTTATATTTTATCTTTTGAAACCGAAAAATACACAATGCCTTTTAAATGTTATTTACGACACTGTAATTTAAACAAAACAACGTTAACAATATCGAAAAAACATTGTGGGAAGAAGCTCTAGAAATTTATTTTAAGAAAACCCGTCGTGTATGTGCAGCTTACATCTCCGCATCAAATACGGAGCGTTGAAATGGTGCAAGCATTTAATTAGAAAAAAATTGGAAAGAGATTAACTTTACCTAACACGCTGCCATCATACATGTAAAATCATTTTACCAAATGTTTTTGAAACTGTGCTTCCTCATTCAACATCAAGTCCTGATATTCAAAAAAAAAAAAAAAATGTTTAAAAAATAGAAAGTATCGTTAAGTGGGTATTTCGTTTAATTGTTATTAATTACTTTAGTTCTTTAGCTTTAATAATTTATTAATATTACGTAATGATTAAATTCTCGTATAAAAACTATCCTACTGTAATTTGTTAGGTACTATAAGTTGTTTGAAAATAATAATTGCTTGTCAGGAATTCTTCATAAATATTAGAAGAGTATTTCACTGTACCTGGTAATCGTAAAACAACATTAATATGAAATGCTTTAATTTTATTACAATCTAATGTTGTACGTACCTAACACGAATAATTTATAATTATAAATACGAGATAACATAATGTAAATATATGTTGAATTAGATAAATTTGATTGGGTATTAATTATCATAGTTGTACGATTGTTTCAACAGAAGTTACCAAACGAAACAACATTTGTTTGGACCTATTTACTGCCCGATATTTATGACTTTAATAACGAAACATAACGGAAATTAATACAATACGAAATAAATAGGTGGGTAAGTTAATGTTTATATGCCCACCCACAACATTAACGTGCACATAGGGTCGCGTGGTGCGTTTAAGGACGGTTATTGTAGTAATGAAATCGGGGCCACGGCCTGGAGCGGAATGGAAACCGAAAGCGGCCCGGGGGATTAAAATTTATCCGGGCCGCCCAATAAAATATACATAATAGGTATTAATCAAACAAACTCTGCGCGGGTAAAACAAATATTTCCAGTGCCGTGCAAACAGAAATAATAGTTTTCACGCGAACCGTGTCGTATGAAAATAAAACACAATACGTAGGACGTAGGTACACGCGTAATATTGATTTGAATTCCCGTGGCATTTGAACGTCATCATCGTCGCCGCGTTTCCAAAGAAATATTATTGCGCCGCTTCAATTTTATATTTTCGGAGGATAACAACATAATAATATCCGTTCACAGAGATGAGATTCTAACGCTGGGTAAACGAGTTTTTTTTATTTGGAAATCGAATTTTTCTCTTTAAATAAATTTCGCACCTTTTCCGGTGGGTGATTTAGATTCGAAACGTATTTTTATTTTATTCTATCACTACAAAATCAGAAGAAAAAAGACGTACATACTTCGCACGAATGGGTGGGTCACTGTTGTAGGTGAGAAGTTGGGAAGGTAGGATACAGAGGGGAATTAAATGTATACGCGTATGTTATTTGTACATAACGGTTAATATTTTCTAAAGAAAAACGATTCTGAGAGCAGTTCGATAATACATGTTTAAAATGCCGTAATATACATTTACGGTTTTCGTCAAAATAATATGAAATTCTTATAAAAAAATACACTAAATCAAATATGGTAAATAAATATACAAATAAAAAATTTATATATAAAAATAAAAATAAAGAAATGAATGAATGCGTCGCCCTAAATAGTTCAAAAATAGTTTTGGTAGATCAATCTAATACTGTTGTTATCATTTACACTAGTGAAATTCGTAAAGAATAGCTTAACATTTTATAAATAAAAATAATATTCAAAATTTAACATATAACCCAACTATAATTTACACTAGACAAATGAATATACTTATAAGAAATTCGAAAAAAAAAAACATGTCTTAAGTCCAAAAGAAAATATTATTAAAATCTGATTACAAAATAGAGTCCATCAATTATCTTTAAAACTGCTCTAGCTTATAGCCTTGCTAAATATTTAGACTCTCTCATAATACTTCTATAAAAAAAAAAAAAAAAAATGATTTTATTGAAAAAATTAGTAAAATTAATATTGAGTCAGATTACAAAATGATTTCTCTTGACGTCAAAAATGCATATACATCCATTCCTAAACACGAAACAGTACATTTTTTAAAAAATAAACTTTTACGTGGTAAAAAATTTAAAACAAACGAAGTACTAGAAATTATCCAATCAATAAGTGTAATTAAAACTATTTCCAATATAATAATCAACTATACTCGCAAAAAGATGGGTTAGTTATGGATGATCATTTAAGTGCTGTTTTATCTGACATTTACTTGTAAATTTATGAAACCAATAATATTATTAACAACACAATATATAGTCCATATATAAAAGCATATTATTGATATGTTGATGGCACGTTTATTTTATTTAGAGGTTAAAATAGACAAGCAGAAAATTTAGTTAACTACTTAAATAAAGTAAATAAAAACATTCAATTTATACTCGAAATACAAATGAATAATAAATTTAATTTCTTAGATCTCACAGTTTCAATAATAAACAATAAATTTGATTTCGGTATTTACAGGAAACCTAGACAAACCGACGCTATAATACCACATGATTCTAATCACCCTTATTCTCAAAAAATATATAAATTTTTAATTCAATATTCTGTAGGCTTCAAATTAAAAACTATTAAAAAAATAAATAAACTTATTAAAGAAATAATAATTCACAACTCACCAAATAATATTGTTCACTATTTTAGTATGAAATATCAAAATAATATGTCTAACGAATTTACTAAAATTCAAAACAATAACACAAATAGTTTAAGAATCGGTTTAATAATTAAATATAAAAAAAAATTGTAATTTAATCGAGCATATAAACA